AAAGACGGGCCACGACAGGATCTTGTGGTCCATCATGTCGACTGCATCTGCATTCTTTTCCACACCTCGGTAGACTGTTCGCCCGCATCAACGAGAGGAAGACGGCTTGCATCCGATCTTGCACTGACTAGGCCGATGAGCACCGAAGCATTAGGATACTCCATAAGCGAGGTAATCAACCTATTTCATGTCATTATTCTATTGTTAACAAGCAATAGTCTACCAAGCTAAAAGACAATCTTCCTTTTCCCAAGATGCAGCCCACTCCACCATCCACCCATGCATGCATCACCATCACACAACCCCACCTGAGCCACCCTTGACCCATGTCAACCCTTTGTTTCCAAGACTCTCTATGCCGACGTGAACTGGGGTGAAGTCGGCGAGAACGTGAGCCGTTGATTTGTTGGAGGCAAACCTTTGGCAGAAACTTACTCCTTGGCCGGTCAGCCACTAACAGTGAAACCCCATCAAGATCGATGCCGCTGGGTGGGTGCCGGTGTAGCTATTGCAGATTGGCACTCAAAGTCAGAATCCTAGACTGTCTTGGCCTAGTCAGCAACTACACTGCAAAATGTAATGCAGGGCTGCTGGGACCTTGAAATCCACGCCCTCTGCTCTCAGGCGCGTTTCCTTCTCGTCACTGAAACACGGATTTTTCGTTTGTTATCATCGAGCGTGATGCTTGCGGGCAGTAATATGGAATGGGGACTTGAGGACAGCGGCAATGAAGGATTGAGGGAGGCCTGTGACGCGAATTCTCGGAGGCTGTGACATGGAAAAAAATGTTGCAGGCACTCACATAACGAGACATGTCTGGAGGATGATGACCTTCCACTATGATAGCCGGCCACATAGATCTGACTTCAGACATGCAATTACGAGAGGATGGTAGAAGGGATGGTCGTTCGAAGACCCTGTAAGATGACCTGAGCCTCTACGGAGTTAGCAGGGTTGCCTGCGCTGGACAAGAAAGGCTCAAGGTACCTGTCTCGTCTCGATAGAGGATCTCGTTTGAAGGCAATGAAGGAATCTTCTCAGAACAATAAACAAACCATGGCAGACTGAAGCTGCTGTGACGCGCAACTTGGTTGGGAGCGAGGCGGCAAATGAGTGCTGTCTCTGGGAGACAGATCATAGCGAAGAAGACCATCCTGAAAGCATGAAGGGAAGGGAAGAAGAACTACTAGATGGGAGGCGTCTGCCTTGCTTACCGCCTCTGCTATCTAAGCAGGTAGGCATGACGTGGAGGACGTATCAGGGGGAGGAAGGCACGTTCGGATATGTCAAGTTTACTTGGGCAAAACTATTGAATGTGAATGTCCACATCGCCTCCGACACCCTTGGGGATTCTGGCGAAGGCACGCAGGAAGGCATAGCCGGCGAGCTCTTGCGCAAGCAAAGAATGCTCCCGACGATAGATAGTTCGATAACATGGCCGAAGGAGATCCCAGTCTTGCAAATGTTCTCTTCCCCACGTCCTTGTGGAACACAACGAGTCCTTGAAGCGAGAAATCCAGCACAAGACGATGTCCGAGTCTACGATTTGGCATGCTGGAATCTTGGTTGAAAGCTGGAAAGTTCGTGGATGGAGAATCAGACACTGTCAGGGGAATCCTCATTGGTATCTATCCTTCATGATGATGTGACATGCTCTAGTAGAAGTATAGAGTACATGCAAGACGAATAAGGAGCACAGGTGTCCCCAGTAGCTATTCGGAACCGAGTACCCACTCGCCCAGTACAAATAGTGGCAAGGCTGCAAGGCTGGTACCAGCCATGCCCGGTTGGGGTGTCGATTGACAATTTTGTAATGACTTAATACACAAGGCTACCTAACCCTGCTTTGGACGGTAATTACAAATATTTTCCCATTGTCCCCTCTGCCCCAAATCACTCATCCAGGCAACGTGTTTGCGCTTCATCCTATTTCAGCACCAGCACCGTTCTCAAGCTCCCGTCAATATCCGCCACTCAACATGGCGAATAGAGGTTATGATGTTGTCGTCGACGTCGACACAGAAGTATGACTCTCCCTTCCCATACCCGCTCGCTGCATGGCTGCCACGGATTGAAAAACTAACGACCACCCAGGGTGACTTAGGCCACACTGACCTTCAAGACGACGATCTCGAATTCCACTCATCAAGTGCGTCACTCCCCTAACATCACGCCCCGGATCGTCATGTCGACTTGAAACTAATTGCGCGCTCTCAGACTTCGAATCGGGTTCCTCGAACCGCAAAATCCAGCCCGACACTCCCTTTCTCGCTGGCTCCGCCAATCAAGCCAACCTGCCCGGCAATGACCCCTCCTCCTTGCCGCAGAAACACATGCTCTGGTCTCTATCCTTCTACGCTCAATTCTTCGACGTCGACACCTCCACCGTGCTGCACCGATGTCGCTCCGCCATCCTCCCTTTCATCCCCAACACGCCTCCATTTCTCGACATCATGGACGGAAACCCTGACCTCTACGGCCCATTCTGGATCGCGACCACCGTCGTGGTAATTCTGTTCCTCACGGGGACAATAAGCCACAAGCTGGCGACCGAGGGAAAAAAACACTTCGAGTATGACTTTAAATTGCTCAGCGGCGCCGCGGGCCTGATCTACGGATACACACTGTTCATTCCCCTGGGGCTCTGGGGCGCGCTGCGCTGGTTTGGCGCACAGTCTCTCGAACTGGTGGAATGCTGGGCGCTTTATGGGTACAGCAATCTATTCTGGATTGCCGTGGCGTTGGTCTCATGGTCACCACTCAATGGACTCAACTACGCCCTTGTCGGGCTAGGTTACGCCGTCAGTGTGTTCTTCTTGGTTAAGAATTTATATCCGGTAATTAGTGCGACGGAGAAAAAGATCAGTCAGATCTTGCTATTGGCCGTGGTGTTGCTGCATGCCGGGCTTGCAATCGCCATTAAGATCTTGTTCTTCAGTCACAAGAGTCCAGCCAAGGATGATGACAGCAAGATGTTGTTTTAACGGGTTCTCTGGCCCTTGGCGTTGAGCGCGGCTATCGATAACCTGGAGGGGCATGTTAATGGGCACATGGATTATAATGGTATAATGTATCAACACTACGAGGACACAGGAAACGGCCAGAGTTCCTTCTATGCTTGCTTGGGCTCAGTCAATGACGATAACCTGTCCAATCAGCGTTAGTTCACCGCCCGAATTTCTTTGGACTCATCATAACGTAGCCTGGTAGACGTACTGACGTTTACGAGGCTAACTCTGCGAATGAGACATAACGTGCATTGGAAAACAGCTGTATTGACGATCTAGCCTGTCCAGCTCGCGGCATCCATTTCGTGCTCAGGAAGCTGCCTTTGGATTTTCTGCGACGCATCATTTTAAAAGGCCACAACGACAGCTTCTTTTCTTCTTCGTCGTTGCACCCGCATCTGCTGCACCCTGTCACACTTCCGCAATCGACATGGAGTCCACCTCCACGCGAGACCGGGCCAACCCCCAACGCAAAAAAACACAATTACCCAGCGGCGCAAACCACTACTTGATCTTCTTCTTGGGTCGGAGCTGGTTGGAGTGGCCGCACTTCTTCTTGCGGCAGTTTGTAGCTCGCGGGGGCAGACGGGCGTAGCACTTTCGGCAGATCATCTTCTCGCAGTTGTATTTGGAGGCGAGAGCCTTGAGGGAGGGTTCGATGATGCCGCCTCGGAGACGGAGGACGAGGTGCAGGGTGGATTCCTAATAGAGACCGCGCGTGTCAGCAAGGGCTGGCACAGCCTAAATCACCTCGAAAGCAGGGGAGAGAGGATGTTTGATGCCCTCCTTGAACAGGCAGAAGGGGGGAAGGGAATGCTCTGTAGCGTACCTTCTGGATGTTGTAGTCGCTCAGAGTACGGCCGTCTTCAAGCTGCTTGCCGGCGAAGATCAAGCGCTGCTGGTCAGGCGGGATGCCTTCCTTGTCCTGGATCTTGGACTTGACATTGTCGATCGTGTCGGACGACTCGACCTCGAGGGTGATGGTCTTGCCCGTGAGGGTCTTGACGAAGCTATTTCCCACCCAAAAAAGGCTCATTAGCACTTGCTCAACTCTTTTCCTACACACAGCTCTTGCAAAATCCCGCAAGTGGCCGAATATTTCGAAAAAGTTCGTTCGGGCTGGCGGTTTTTCAGGCGACTTACATCTGCACTGGAAACGGGAGTCAGCGAGAAGAAAACGGATGAATTCTTGTTCGGATATACGGATCGCAAACTTACTCTTGTCAAGATCTTCTGGTCACTGGCAATGTTGATTGAATATGTTGCAAGCAGTGATATCGAAAACAGAGGGGTGGCGAGACAACCTTTCTTTGTGGACGCACATTCGGCGCCAAGACTGGGCTTACCGAAATGGAAGGTGAAGCGCATGAGATCTTTCAGCCTCGTCACGAAAACGGATTGACCTTGCTTTTCCTGTGGCTGGTTGTTTTTTCAAATGATATTGTAGAAGACATGGTGCGCGAAGTAAGCACCCAAATGCATGGAGGGTCTCCGGAACAATCTCAAGCAAAGTTCATCGACCATCTCCCCAGCGGCGGCAACCAGAGTACTCCTTCGAACTTGGACGTCGCAACAGCCACTGGGCATTGCCCGACGTTCGTCCGTGACAGGATGAGTATTGGCAAATTATCGGATAGGCTCTTTATCCTCTGCAACATACGGAGCATTTATGCCACAAAGCCTCTGTGTTATGCATGAGCATAAGAATGGGCCTCCATTCCGGTTGTGCAATCTCAGGTCAGGCGTCCAGGGTCTTCTCTTCCATTGAGCGTCAGTGCGTCAGAAGTTTCCCGCATATATAGGAAAGTCAACAGGAATACAAAAGCTCTCATATTCTTTCATTCAAACCGTCCAAACAGTCAGGTGTTTTGTTTAGCCTAAGACGGGGCCGAGGTTCACGTCGACGAGAGCTAGATTCCAGCAATTGATCTCTATTATTACCGCTTCTGTAGTTTGTATAGAGTGCCGTCTCATCCATCAAAGACAGTGGAAATGGCGTCTCAGACAACGCTGAAACGACCGCCCAAACTAATCCTGGGGTGTTCCAACTTTGGCTCCCCCAGCGACCCGTTCTGCAGAACCACCTCCGCGGAAGAAGCAGCCGTTCTTCTAAGCATATTCGGCTCGTACGGACATGACACAATTGACACTGCCCGTCGCTACCCGCCCCAAGCGCCGGGGACAAGTGAAGAGCTTCTGGGCGAAGCACTGGACTTGCTGCGGCGTGAACATAAGGCCGAGACCGACATCATGATCCAACGATCTCCAGAGATACACGTCGACACCAAAGTCCTCTCTGCGCCGGGGTGTCACAAGCCCGAGAATATCCAGGAGAGCATCTCAGCTTCCCTTTCCGCCCTGCACGTGTCCTCGGTGAACACGATATACCTACACTACCCAGACAAGACTGTTCCGCTCTCTGAACCCGTCGCCGCGCTCTCAAGCGCCGTGGCGAATGGCCAGGCAAAGCAATGGGGCGTCTGCAACTACACCCTCGACGAAGTCTGGGAGATTCTACGCCTCTGTAATCAATACGGGTGGAGGCGGCCGGCGGTGTACCAGGGCGAACACAACGCCCTCAACCGCGTGAACGAACAGCTCATCAAGTTCTGCCACGAGCAAGGGATCGCGTTCTACGCGTACAGTCCCGCTGCCGCTGGAGTGTTTTCCCCCAGCGGGTCACGAGTTGGTGCTGATACGCCGGCGGGCCAGCGAATCCGGGCTCTGTATGGAGGCACGGAGATGCGGAGTGCGGTGCAGGAGGTCAGGGATGCTGCACGGCGGAGAGGGTTGAGTGGTCATGAGGTTGCGATTAGATGGGCGTTTTGGGATAGCATACTGGACGGGGCGCATGGCGATGGAGTGATCATCGGTGTGAGCAATCAGAAGCAGTTGACGGACACCTGCGAGTTTTTAGGGAAAGGTGGGTTGGGGGATGGAGTCCGAGAAGTGGTGGAAAAGGTCTGGGACAGTGTCAAGCCAAAGTAAGGCAAACTGAAGGCCCAAGAACATAGAGAAGGGGACATTGGAGGAATGACACATGTTGGAGGCGTGCATCGAAGGAAACATTATGTTATATGTGATCTGCAGCGTATGCTCGCTTCCGGCAACCTTTCTTAAGATTCCTCCTTCCGTCTACCAGCTCAATCCACTGGTTCCTCCTCTAACAACAATTTGAAACTGAAAGGCTCAAATGTAACACCCTCCCCAATGAAATGCTTACTCATTGCCTCCACCCAGTGCAACCTGAGACTGTGCAACATCGCACTCGTCCCTTCCATGACACACAAGACAGCAATAGTTAACACAAACCAGAAGTAAAAGGTGACAACTAGCATGATAACCTGTACCGGGCCGGAGGAGACGCCAAATGCATTTCCCAGTGTCATGTTCCACAGCACAATGGAGAGTTGTTGATGAGCAAGAGAGAGGGCCCACAGGCGGAGGTACGAAGCCGTATGGGAGACGCAGTTGAGGCAAAACTCGATCGTATCTGATCGCCATCACGTCAGGGCCTGCTGCAATAACGGCGGAAGGATAGGGAGAGGGGAAATTACTCACGAATAGTCTGATGAATCATGACCTCCGAAAACTCGAATTCCTCTTCCTCCTCGTCTCCAATATTCTCAGTGATCATCGCGCCTTCGTCATCATCCTCACTTGGCCGCCCATTCATGCGCCGTTCGTTGGTGTTGCGATTCTCATGGTCGTCGTCATCTAGATCCGTAGCATGCGTGACGCGACTGGTATCGCCGATCCCGCGGTATCCTTGGGCAGCGGTCTTCTGATGTTGCCAGCGCAGATACAGAGGCTTCAAGAGTAGAAGAATAGGCACGTTGATGACGGCAATCAAGAGCAGAAATACCTGGACGCCTGCTTGACCTGAGTAAAGCTGCTCGCTCTCTTCTACATTCCCGGGTGACAGGAACATCTGGATTAACATGTTGAGCAAGGACGGTGGGTTGCGACCTTCGGCTGACCAGTCGATAGACCATTTGTAGATGATGCAGAAAGAGAGGTATCCGAAGATGGCCTGGAAGAATATCATTCCAGGCACAAAGTTGCCCCAAATGTCGATGGGAGATTTGAAATGTCTGGCATTGACGTAGGAGAAGCATAGAGCATAAGTCATGTGGGCCCAACCCATGAGAATTGACAGCTTCATTTTCAAACTGTTGCTGAAGAGCAAGTCATTCTCGGAGCCGTGCCATGCCCAATCCAGACCAAATGGATACCGATAGCTACCCTTGAGATGACCTGTAACTTCTGGACGGCCCTCTTCAGGGAACTCCCACGCGGAGGGGAAAGGAGTAAATGCTTTTGAGAAGACATCGTTGTAAATGAGGCCGGTGTACATGGAGAAGATACCCATCATCAACATGATGTAGCGACCGTAAAATGCCATTGCGAAGAGTTCATCCTGCTTGGACCGCGCCAATGGCTTTTCCCAGTAGATCATCGCTGTTGCGGCCATAGCCATCAAACATCCGTGTCCAAAGTCACCGAACATCACGGCGAACAGGAACGGGAACGTAACGATGGTGTAGAGGCCAGGGTTGACTTCCTGATATTTGGCGGTACCATAGGCATTGATGATGGTTTGAAATCCTTCCGTGAACTTGTTGGTCTTGTTGTAAGTGGGTGGAGTCTTGTTCGTCCTAATCTGATTCACAATGGTAGGCACAGACAATCCAGCCCGGTCGTTGACATCTTGTAAGGTACGTCGAATCTGCGGTAGAGTGTTGGTGGGACACCAAGCTTCCGCAATCAATGTCTTTCTGGCATGATCGTAAGAGCACATGTTCAAAGCATTATAGACAGCCTTCTCTTTCTTAATGACAATCATCCAAGCAGCGAGAGATCGAGCAATGGCACTGAGCTCCGCATCGAGGGTGTTCTTGGTGTTTCGGAGGACACTCGCAAGGTCACTGAGACGAGTGTTGACTTCGTGAATCTGATCCCTTCGAACATCACTGTTCTCATCGACGGTGTAAAGATCTGCCCCTAGAGATTCGGAGATCTTTCTGATCTTTGCAATGATTTCCTTTCCGTGGGCGAAGATGACAAAGACATTCTTCTGGATCTCCTCATTGTTCTCAGGGTTGATGATGGGCTCTGGGATTTCAGATTGGTTCATGTACAGGTTGCCACGGAGGGTCCTCCACAAGATGCGTTCGAATGCGGGTAGTCGCTCACGAGGTATAACTCCGGAGACAAACCCGATGTTCATGACAGCAAAGCTCTGCTGTTGCTGACCGGCATCGCCGTTTGCTCTGCCTTCTTCAGCCTCCGTGTTTCGCAGCAAAGGAGCATCATCCTCATCCAGGCTTGCTCGGATATCTTCAGTCTGTCCATGAGCCCTGTCGAAGAAACCGCCGGCCTCCTTGAGAACCCATCGCCACTCCGTCAACTCGACCTCGCGTTTCTTCAGTGTTTCGTAGCTTTCATTCAAACTGCTGATGCGCTGTTCCAGACCCTCCGCGCGTTCCACAAGCGCATCAATCTCGCTGGCTTGTGGGACTGCAAGCATATTCTCGTCGAAGTCCCAATGACTCCTCATCTCGATCTGAGATTTGTCCATTTGGGCCTTAAAATAACGGAACTGGCGTTCGACGTTGTCTAGCCGGCGGATCTCCTTGGTGAACGTGCGTTGGAAGGCAGTGGTCTCGGCGTTGAGGTCGCGGAATTGGACAACGCCAACTTCACCTAGGGCAGAGACGACTTCGCGGCCGATCTCATTAGAGATGTAGAGCTGGGTCAAGGACATGCTCGCCGAGCGGAAGAGGGTGTCTTTATGGGCCATGCTGGGCGGGTGTTGAGGGAGAGGACAAGGCCGCCCAGGCCACTGGATGAGGGAATTCGAGATACGAGAGACACCAGGGAATTGGGATGGCTCGCTGCGTCGGCTTGAGAGCTTCGTAGGAAAGATGTCGAAGTCTGGTACCTGGGGGAGGTGTCACCTCAACGATAGCATCGCAGCTTCGCCTCTGCCTTGACACGCCAAGCCGCTTAAAGGTTCTTCCTGAAATACGGTTGAGCAGTTGAGAGGTCCGCTGCCGACAAGGCTGACAGCATCCTCTATTGTCGTCCTAAAACTTGACCAACCTAACAGCACAAGGGGGACAACTGTCATGAATTGCATTTCATAGACATCAAGGACCCTTCTTTGTCCGATGATTCTATCCATAAAGCTCTTCTTCGCCCTTTTCTCATTGATCCTCACCCCCCAAAATACAATTTCCCTTCTATATCTCAGCCACTTCTTTTAAAAAGACTCATTCTTTCACTCATTTCTCAACCTGTCCAACCAGTTCCTATCTCAAACCGAGAGCAAGGTTTTGGGCCACAATGGACCCTTTTCTCCGGAGAACTCAGTCGTTATCCCTGAAGCGTAATTACATACTGGATGAAGACACCGAGAGTCCACCAGAAGCCGAACTTCCAGCAAAAACAGAAGACAACGTGATAATGACTGGTCAATGCTCCCAAAAAAACGCCAACGCTATGCTCGAATTATGGAGTTCTTTTGCTTGCCTGATGCACCTAGTGAGTACAAAGCTAAGCAAAATAGCTCTTCCATAACACCCCGGACAGATCTTCGATTTGTTCCGGTTTGAATGCCTGCCACTAGTCAGCTTGCTCTACCGCATGGTCAAGTTATTAAAATACATACCTTGACATCAATATGCCAAGTATCCTGCCTCGTCTTCTTGAAGTCGCTAATAATGCTCTTGACGCTGTTGCCCACAGTTGCTGGATCATTCGCTGCTTTGCTGCTCAACGTGACCAACACATCTGGCATCCAAGACGGCGGTGGGCTCGAATAAGGGAATGCTTGGATCAAAGCGCCCAGGCCAAGCACCGCCGCATGACGAACGATGACTAACCGCTGTGCCTCAGGAGTGGGTGTGTTGGTCCCTGAAGTTCGCGCTGATGATAGCCCTGCTAGTTGTCCCTTTGGTTTCTTCGGCAGCGGATTGTCAATAAGCATTTGGGTGAACCGATCCCGTAGCTGAATAATCATCCTCTCTCTCAGCTCGAGAGGTGAGCATCGAATCATCCCGGACAAGGTCGTGGCAGCACCCGCACGGACTTCGTGCTGTGTATCTTCGAGCATATCAGCCACGCAGTTGAACAGCTTCTGCTTACTCTCCTCCGACAACAAGAACAATCGTCTGAAGAAGATGATCTGCATATTGATCATCACACGGAGACGTTGATGCCATGACGGAGATGTTTTCCCAATACGGATCAATGACTCGATCAACGCTTGATCCTCTCCTATACGATGTGGGATGTTTGGCAGGTGGCGGAATACATGATATGCCAAAGATTGTAACTCAGGATCCTCCTTGACATCCATCATATGCAGGAATTGTTCTGTGAACAGGTTGGGGAAATACTTCAATAACTGGGTGCATTCGTATGAAGAGAGCATGGAGTCAAGCCACAACAAAACTGTTTTACTCCCAGACGTATACGCCGAGGGCGTCTGTTGACCTGGCGTTCGTTCATGCCGCCACCTTTCTAATCGCTCGAAAATCTCGCGCATTGTTTCGTCAAATTGCTTGGTTGGTAGATAGGGGTGCGTTCCAATGGGACCTGCCTTTCTCTGGACTTCGAGGAGTTCTTTGACATCCTTATACGATTCATGGTATCGAGTGCGGATAATAGCAGCAAGCGTCTGAGCCATAGCCTCTCTGACTCCCTTGTATGGATGGTCGATGTGATTTATGAAGTCCTCCATGATGGGCTTTTCAAGCTGAAAGTGCCACCCTGCGTCCAGAATCACTTGATAGAGGAGATGGATTTTAGAGCTTTCTTTGAAAGCAGCGTTGGATCCCATGTCAAGACGGAAGCTTGTCAGCCACTCCACTAGCGGCCAGGCTCGTCGAGGATCCCGTGCCTGAAGAATCATATGGAGAAAAGTTGTCCAGTAGCCGGAATTCTCTGGAGTTAGGCCGTCTGAGAAGACTCGCTGAATAATAGGGAACGCGAACTCCCATACCATGGTCCTCCGCTCGATAGAGTTGTCCATGACTGACGTGACCAAACCACCCAGTATCTCGGCTGTGGCACGATGCTGATGCTTATCGCTGCCGTCCTCAAAAACGGCTAGTGTTTCTTCTTTAATATCTTCAAATGTTGCCATGGCTAGACCATCTCTGATGATCAATTCGAAAGCATAAGTCAGCATCGCCGCGCTAGCCATGCGGAACTTGTCTGCGGATTGGTCTCGAGGTTCCTGCTTTAGATACTTGAAAAACGTGACAAACCACTCTCGGTCCAAGTGTTTGCCGATGACGGTTCGTTTTTTCCATTCGAGTTCATCATAGATGATGTCGTTCTGGACGTTGGCCTTGTAGCCGGGCATGTCTTTTGACCACACGAGCCAGCCAGGATAATCATGGTCAATGTAAACATCGGCTTCAGGTTGAGAGAAAGCCTTCAAAAAGTTTTCCGTCCACCCCTCTTCTCCGGCTTTGGTCTCAACTTTGACTTTCGCGGGAAACGTCTGGATTGCCTGGATGTAATTCGCATAGTCGTGGTTGCAAACAGCTCGCACGTCAGTCATGGTGAAAAGTGCCACCAACCCTTGGGAATACAATCCCCGCAAGCCAGGGTGAGGATCTATCGTGCCAAGAGTTATCAAATCAATCATGCTGTCTGAAGCAATTGTGTCGAAACGCATGCCTAGTGACATGACAAGGGTTGCCACACGAGTAGCTTTCTTCCAATGCGAGACGCGAGTCAGTTCAATGAGCTCTTCAGCCAGCTCCGCCTTCTTGCGCTCGATGTTGGCACGCTTACTCAAGATGAAGGCTTTCTTCTTTGCAATCTTGTCATCGACATCTTCCTCCGGAACAAATGGATCAACAACTGTGCGATCGATGATTGCCATTCGATCGCCTGGTCGGCCATAATCCATGACTTGGAATAAGCCACCGCTGCAAAGCTTCTGAATGGATGGTTTGTCCGCGGTACTAGCCTCGATGAATGTTCTGATGACAGCAGGCGTGTATTTCCAATGCCTGCCCACTGTTTTTGCTAGACTGCCAAACAACAAGGCAAACAGTCCGCCTTTGATTCGAGGGAAATCGTTCTTTTCTACTGCTTTCTGGAAGGCCGCCAAGAGCGGAGGGATGACGAAAAGTCGAGCTCCGAAAATCACCTTCAAAGCCGATTCCCCTGCACTCTGCGCGTTACGACGGACTTCAGTGTACAAGGAGACGGCTGACTCCGCAAGGTCTAGGAGAAGCTGTTCGTCCAGCTCTGACCGTGGTCTAGGTGCGGCATTATGTCGGAGTCTCTGGGTGTGGTAAACATTGGCTCGTCGAACGAGTATGGAGCGAGGATAATCTTTTCGTACTCCGCTCACTTTGTACGGCTGCTCATCAGCGTGTAGGAGTCGAGTAACTCGGTCGAGGACGTGAGCCGAGCGCTCAATACCGACATCAACGAACCATGATCGATAAGCAGTGTATAGTGGAGCAAAAGACGACACATCGTCCTCGCCTTCTCGAGTCAGAAAGACGTGCACGTCATGTAAGACGTGGCCGATCTTCTGTCTGAGTTGATGAAGAAGCTTGTAGTTGGCATCATCAGGCTTTAGCAACTCGCCTGCAGGATACTGGAATGAGGGCTTGATCGATGTCTCGTCCGTGCCATCAAGAGAAGCATCAGTCTCAACGTCATTGGCTTCTTCTGGGGCATGGCCGTTCGCCTGAGACATCGGGGTATCGGTGTCGGCGTCGACACCTGCGGCAGTCGTGGTCAGACCTTCATTGACTCCTTTCGAATCAAAGAGAACCGATACTCCAGCGAGCAGCAGACGCAGTAGAACAAGGTTCCTTGAAACTTCATCCGACCATTCCTTGCCGCTGCCGTCGCGCTTGATGCTAGATGAACCGTCAATAAGACGTTGCAGATGTTGCACTGCGCTTTCGGCTTGGTTCTGGAACAATTCCACAGCAAAGTCAATCTCTTCTTTGCAAGGGACATGCCATTTTGGTTTGATGGTTGCTGGCGGCTCTGCCACACCCCAGAGATCCGCAGTTATCCCGTTCTTAACCTTCTCCGGTTCGTACAAGGCATAGTCGGCCGTGTAGGTGACGGTGAGGTTGAGCAGCAAGTGATGCACGTAGTTGGAGACGTGTACAGTCGGCATGCCTTTGCATTTCTGTTGCATGTACACCGCGATATCAAAGAGTTCTTGCTTGTATTTCAGGACTGCGGAGCCCACATGAACCACGCACATACTGAGCATGCTGATATTCCAGACCAGCCCTCTATCTCGAGGCAAGACATCGGAAGCGGCGTTTCTGGTTGAGCCAGCACCATTCTCATCGATTTCCGTTCGGATGGCGCTGATCAAGACGGGAACGAATTTCGCCAAAGCCTTCTCGGGGTCGACCTTGCATAAGCAGTTACAAATGAAGGCCATGGCATCTCTTGATTGATGAATGACGTGGTTGGCAACAAAGTCAACAATCTTGTTCAATGCCAGGTCGTATAATTCTGGTGATAGAGATGCTAACAAGGGCATAAAAGCCGCCGGAAGCGTGTTGACGATATTTTCTTCTGGAGATCCGCTCCTGACGCGCGCTGCATCCGGCAAATTTTCAAGGAGAGTGAAGACTCTGCCCAAAAAGGATGTGACAAACTCCCCGAAGCCGGCGGTGGACGAGGCAAGTATCATCTCTTCGTCTTTTTCATTCAAAGTCGCATAGTTCAGTTCAACGCGAGCGCCTTCCTGCTCCATGCGCTCCATCTCTCCTGTGATCCACTCCATAGCCAGCATGT